TGAATCCGGCGCCCCGACCGGGACTAGAACCCGGGGTACCGGTGCCACAGGCGGAGGATTAGCCTAGTGAGCCGCAGCGCCAGCCAAGACTCTTCTTTCAAGAAGTTTGACAGCAGAAGAAAGAGAATCATAATGTGAAGTGGATCCAGAAGCAGCTATGAAGGCAAAACAAGAGAAAAAGGTGGTCCTGCAGGGCGTGCCGTGCACTGACATACACATATCCTCAGCGCCAGCAGCAAGGATCAGAACCACGCGGAAAGGAGACATGGGTATTAACCACGTCATTGCAGTCACCTCAGTGAAACCACTTTCTCTCCCTCCGCTGCCTCTTCAGATTATTCTAAAACTATGAGCGAATAGATGGAATAGAATTTGGGCAGAGCTTATCACTTCCTATAAAGTGAGGTGTTATTACAGCAAGCGACAGTTTGTCATTTTTCCACCTCCCTCAGGAGAGCGACAGAAAGAAGCTGAGAGTCCTCATATCTAACATATGGTCCCAGGGAACGGCTTCCCGGAAACTCAGCGCAGACAGAAGAGCCGAATAAAGTCAGGGTACACAGGGCCACGGTGAGACGGAAACGCCAGCAAGTCTGTCCCACGGTCTGCAGCACTTTCTGAACCCGGGAGTCGCCTGTCACAGGCTACCTCCGCGCAGGTGGCTGGAGAAGCACCAAGAGCTCACGTGCAAACTGCTGCTTCTGTCATCCAGCCTGCCTCGCAGGAAGCTCACGCTTACCTCAGGATTCCCGGTCAGCGGAAGGCATGGACAGAATCATCACGGGCCTCACGTCTGTCTCGAAAAATAAAACAGAACTGTGACCCGAGGTAAGGCTGAGTTCTCGCGGCTTGGGTGTCCTGCTGTGGTTTTCGGTTTTTCACCCCCAGGGGAATGTTGCAAGGTCAGTGGTGATGGTCCACAGTAAACCACTTCATGAGGACCGTCCACACAGCAGGGAGGCTGCCTCTGAGTCAGCCTTGTCGTACCAACTCCTCAAAACACTCGTGAGTTAACGCAGGATCGCACAGTAGGTCCAAGCGCAAAAGGAGCAACACCAGGTGGGCAGCAGGTCACAGGCAGCACACAGAGGTCAGGGAGGCCACCAAAAATATACAGGGGGAAACTTGGAGTAGTTCGTCAATTAAAACTGTTAACAGAACAGAACTATCTTGTTCAATGGAAGAAATGGTGAACAGTGATTTAAATGGGTCAGTAACGCAAAAGCCATCTGCATTTATCTTTTAAGACACACTGTGGTTGGGTTTTGGGGGATTTTTAAAACTCTCCCCAAATTGTGTTTGACTCAAGGCAACATTAAAATTAATTTTTATCCCATAAGCACAGCACAACAATCAAGCTGCCCCTTCTACTAGAAGAAAGTAGCAAATTACTAGAGAAACGCACATGTAAAATGTTGAGTTTTAAAAACTAACAGAGCACATGGACCGCATTCACATGCCCACCAGGAGCTACAGTGGCCACGGGTAATAAAAGCTGCATTGTAGACATCAGAGTGGCATCCAAATGTGCGTTATGTGTGGAAGGTTCACATTATTAACAAAAATCAACTTATTCTGCTGAAATCAAGCAAAATCATGAGTGATTTCAGTGAAAACTGAGGGTCTTTTTGTTAAATGAATGAGATAATGATATAACAGACCAAACATAAGAGGTAGTCACTAATGTCTTTATAACTCTCACAAACAGAAATGATCCAACAGCAAATTGTGATGTGTATGAGAGAATGAACAGTGAGAGCACAGAACTTTCTAGTACAGCAGTGACCCAATCACCGCTGTGAATTCAACAAGTTTTTACTGAGGATCTACTATGGGCTAGGCTGTTCTGAGGCTGAAGACACTGGAGCAACCAGGCCAAACTGCACGGCCATACGGAGCCAACTATGCAGTGAAGGATTTAAAACATGCGACGTTGAGCAAGTCATATAACTGGAAAAATCAAGAAGAAAAGGACTGCTAATAAACTTTTATATACATCTACATAGAAACATTTATGGACTTCTATAAAATGAAGAACACTGAGAGTGAAACTGAATAGATAAGCCTACATAATCAGAGAGCGCATTCCCATAATTCTAAAGTGTCTTTGCTAAAATCGGATCCAAACAATTACCTTCCTCGAAGGTGGTTTGACGATCACTGTTACCCGGTGAGCCGGCAAGGAATTACAAAGTGAGCATACCAAATCCAGGCCGGCAGGCGAGCTCGCACTGGGTAAAAACTTAAAAACACCAAAGACACTCACCGGCAACCCCCTCTGCGGAAATATCCTCCAGAAATGGGAGGAGGGCGCTGCTGATCGGAGCCAAGGAGTTCAGACAACGGAGGGCATAGCAAAGCACATCTGGGCTAGCGGCACCTTCGCAGCCCCGCGGCTCGCAGGAACGCGCTTCTGCCCCTCTTCCGGTCAACTCCCCAGCCCAAGGGAACACCTGCGGGGTTACCAGGCCGCTTCAACCGGCACTGGACAGACGTGGACTCCGCTCAGGGCGGGCTGCTCTCGAAACCAGCAAACGTAAGAAAGGCAAGTAAGACGGAAATCCCCCCGCGGACACCAGGCAAACGCCACAAAAGAGCAAGGGGACGGACCTGCGCCCGGAACGGGCAGGATGCCCAGGGCGGCCCCCCTAAAGGAAACCTCCAAGACCCTCAGCCTCCAGGGGCTCAGGGCATGCAAACTGACCCCGGTGTCATCGTGAAAGGGAAGGGAGGACGGACGGCTCCTCGGAGACCGCCTCGTTCTCCGCGGGCAGCGAGTACTGAAACACTAGGAGCTTCGAAGGCCACTTCACGCCAGTGAACCGGCAACAAGACACCAAGTTTGGAAACAGCAGTGAGGGGACGACGGAGGAGAAACCACAAGAAGTAAAACACGCCATTGTAATAGGAATGTAATACAGCGCCGGCGAACCACCAAGCCATCCCCGCCGCTCAAAAGGCAGAGCCTGCTGAGGCCATAAAGGCCGGGACCTTCGGGTCGCCGGAACTCAACACCCAGTCTCCAGCGGCTGCGGGGGGAAGAGTTCCCGGGAACCCCCTCCCCTCCCTCTCGCAACAACTCCGCCCACTGGGCCCGCCCCGTCCCGCCTGGCTACTCACCGGATTCGCTTCCCACATAGCGGTGGCGAAATCGAGCGGAGAGAGCCTGGAGGAAGGGGCTGGCCTCGGGGTCGGGTGTTGGGTTTTTCCGAGGGTTCCAGGGAACCAGGGCACACAGAGGCAACCTTTACGGAGACCTCCCTTCTCCCCCTCCCTGTCACAAGCCAGCGTCTTCAGACCACCGAACCCCACGACTTCCGCCCTGAGCCGGCCAATCAGCGCTAGCCCCGCCCCGTCCCCCCCCCCGGAAGCCCGCCCCGCCCCTCTCGCTCCCTTCCAGGCTGGCGCGGGAGGGTTGTCAGGGGCGGGGCTTACGAATTCTTGTGTCTTGGTTGTAAAGCAGTTTAAAGATCTTCTAATCGGCCAGCCTTCCAAAGTTAAATCCCCGCTGCTGCATCACCAGGAAGTCGTCTACAAGCCGCGGCTGGCGGTATTGCCTTCCTACAGAACCGATACTTATCGATTCCTAAGTGCGGCGGCGCTCTCGGCCAATGGCAGCTGAGACAAAAGTCTGAGTTTCCATTTCGTCGTCCTCGGGACGGAGATGATGATGCTGTGAGGTCTGAGGAAACCTCTCGCACCGTTTTTGGCATCCAGTCAGGGTCGAGCCCAGTGCCCGCTATACTCAGACCCGCTAGCGACAGACCCCGCCTGGCCCGTATAGCGTCCCTGCCCTCAAGGGCTTTGGGACCGGGGGAGGGAAACAAAAAGTAAGAAATGACACAGCGAACTGTGGGTCAGCGGTGCTGCGGGGCCCGCGGAGCCCCTGGGAGGTTCTCCCCATGCGGAGTAGCGAGAGGACAGATCCCCTACCTGGGGAAGCGGAGAGGGAACAGCTGGCCGTGCGTCCTTTCGGGCTTTTCTACAAACCACCGCCACCACAACACGGCATCAAAGCAGTAGATCTAGAACCTGATTTGTTTCCCCCGCTGAATATCTTGTGGATATCCTTGCAGGCTGCATGTATAAATCTATTTAATCATTTTTAAAGTGGCATTCCAAAGTGTGGATGTGTGCTACACTCACACAAACACCCTTAAGATCACCCACTGATACTCGTTCAAGTGGTTTTCAAACTTCTTACTATACCAAAAAATTCTGTAAGAAGTGTTCTAGTACGGATGTTTTCTTCATATTTGTAGAAATGTAATTTCCCAGTAAGATATTATGGGAATCTTTGCCAAACGATTAACCACTTGCCCTGATACCATTTATTGAACAATCCATCAAAGGATGGATTATTTATGTAAATTTGCTTGCAAATTCATATACTCACATATACATATATATTTCTGAACATCCTTGCCTGTTCTGATAACTATACACTTATTCCTGTGCTACACACAATGTTATAGTTATTAGAGTTTTATAACATATATGCCCATAAACTCCTAGTTTTCTTCCTTTTCAAATTTTTCAAAATCATAAGCCTTCCTATTCAGGAACATGTCTTCTCATTTAGATCTTTCAATATCTCAAAAATTTTTCACATAGATTTACACAATTTTTGTGCAGTTTGTTTCCAGGTATTTTATACTCTGAGAATGAGATAATTCTTATTATTGTATTTAGGGGAGACATGGATTTTTGTGTATTTATCTTATATCGTACCACACTGTAAAAATGTCTTATTAATTCTGATGGCTTCTTAGCTGATCTCTCTGAATTTTTACATAAACAATCATGTCACCTGAAAATAATATAGTTTTCTCATTTCCTATTGCATTGGTCAAAACCTCAGAAAATCTTTGAAGAATATAGGACAAGGCAGTGGGCATTCAGCTTCAAGGCAGTAAGATAACAGGCAACCCTAGTTAGTGCTAGATATCCTTTACATATACTGTCTTCAGGGTAAACATCTAGCACAACGTTTAAGATACCTGTATCCCATATCCAAGTGCCTGGGTGTGAGTCTCAGCGCTGCTTCTTAACAGTGGGATCCGTGGGAGATGGTTTGGTGATGGCTCATGTAAGAACTTGCGTCCCTGCCACCAATGTGGGAGTTGAATTCCAAGCTCCTGGCTTCCTCCTGGCCCATCCCTGGCTGTTGCAGGCATTTGGGGAGTGAACTGACAAATGGAGGATCGTTCTCTGCCTGTGTCTTTCTCTTTCTTTGCCTTTCAAAATAAATAGATACATTTAAAAATGTCAAAAGAAAGCACATACTATCATTTTAAAAGAAATATATTTCTACCGTTAGTAGAAGCTACAAACTTTTAAACAGGAAAGCTTATTCAATTTTTATCAACTGTCTCTTAGGCTCTATTTTTAAATGTATTTGTTACTCTGACTTATTAACACAGCAAATTATGCCAACAGATGCCCGAATGTTCTATGCATCCCGACGTTCCTGAAATCAACTCTGCTTTGTCATGTTGTATTATTTTGTTAATACTGTGCTTAATTCAACTTGCCAATCTTTTATTTGGAATGAAAAATTATTTGTGATTAACGAAATGTGTCCGTTGTGTTTTAAATGATTGTCTTCAGCAAGTTTGGTATCAAAGTAATACTAGCCTTGAAAAATAAACAGTTGCCATTTAACTAATTCAGGAAATAGCTTTTCCTTGAAAGTGGAGTTTTTTTCAAAGCAGGTTTAATTGGAAAGGTTAGGATCAAGGGCTCAGTCATTCGTGGGCTTAGAGCAATGCTTCCTTTCTTTGAAATCCCCTAGCTGTTGAGTGCTGGGAGAGCAAGACAGAGAAAACACAACTGCTTTGGATGTACGTTTGTCACCGGAGGAAAGGCCGTGGAAGTCGTGGGGTTCTGGGGTTCTTGTCTTCACTCAAGAAAGAATTCAGGCGTGAGACAGAGAGTGGAGTGATAAGGCTTTACTGGGGATAGGGCATCCATCAGAATGGAAGGGACAGAGAGAGAGGGCCCAGTCACTCGGACTGGGGGAGAAGGAGATTACATGGTTGAGTGGAGAGAACACACCTGGGCAGGCCAGGCGGACAGCTCAGCAGAGAGGCAGAAGGCTGAGTGGGCAGTCTGTTTGGACTCCCTAGGTTTTCAAGGGAGTCCTCCAGGACAAAGAATGGAGAGTCTTGGCAAAAGGGTTTGTTGGGTGAAAATTAGCAAATTCCTCCCCAGATTTGCTGATGCCCCCCCTCCACAGAGTAGGGGGGCTTCCCTTAGGGCGTCTGAGAAGGTGTTATTGCCCCATGTTATTAGGTCAGGTAATCCACTTGGTCCTGAGGAGAGAGAATTCTCCTAGGAGCTTTCCTTGAGGGCTGGGACCACCTGGAAAGTTATCAGGGTCTGAGCAGGACTTTGAAGTGCAAGGTGCTGGGCTTCTGGAGCTTCCTCTGTGGGTGCTGGTCTTCAGGCCTGTCTCACACACACATAGGCTCAATTTCTGACTTGCTACCTAACACACTGAGTAGATTAGCATTTAAAATATTCTGCTATATCCCAAAGAAATATGAAGGGAGCTGAAAATAGCTGTGCAATTTTTAGTGCTAATTTTTCTCTCCTTATTACTCATTTAGGATTGCTGAGTTAAAGGGAGGTATGGGAAGAGGCCTGAACAATTATATAGTCCTAGGGTCACAAACTAATAGCTAATAAACTTAAGCACACACAGGGTATTTGCATTTTTTTTATTTGTGGCTACTATTTTAAGACTAGGAAATGTCACATGAGACAATAGGGATCTTCAGGTTCCCTTTGGCACTGTATTGGCAGGGCAACAATTCCTTGAGGCCATTTTGATCCCTTTAGGCTAAGAACGGACTCCCTGTCTCATTGACATGACCTACCTGGGCCCTATTAAGTATTTGGTTTGTAACTAATAATAATCTACCTCTTCATATGATGGATCTGGAACTTTCTAAATACCCTCATAGACAATCACTGCACTGGCCTGAACTTTCTCAAGGGTGGGTACAATGTTGGGGCCCCATTTCCCACAGTGTCTGGTAGTAGATGACTTTATGCCTGTAATGCCTGCAGTTTAACCCATTATAGGGTCTAGCATGTTTCCCTTTGTGCTTTGTGTCATCGATCTAGGCAAGTGCTATGGAATACTGACCATGGTGAGGGAGCCCAGGACTAGAAGCCACCCAAGCTAACTCCACTCCACAGCTCCTTGCAGACATGTACACATCCAACAAAACAGGATGGAAGCCCACTGCAGCAAATATTTGCCAATTGGCAACAAGATTTAGGTTTTGACAAAAACAAGTTAGAAAAGTTTCCAATAAGACTGACCCAGCCTTCACAATAGCTAGTGTGTAACCACTACATTTGGGGTTTGGAGATGATATGTAAAAGACGTACAAATACCCCTAGACCACCTCAGCCGCTTGATCTCTCTCCATCCCTCCCTCCCTCCCTCCCTCTCCAAGCCTCTCTTTTCTGGGAACGTCTCTGTCTTCTACTCAAATAAAACTTTGCTGCTTCTCTTGTCACCATTGCACGCAGTCTCATGACCTGCCATGGATGCCATGACACCAACCCAAACTCATCTCCCAGTTGTTTTCCTGCAACAATGGTCCCCAGTTTTCTCAGTAAGACTGGACAACTTACTTTATCTTTTATGTCTTCTAAATACGTGTTCCTGGTGGAGATACCCTAAACTACACTCAACCCAACCTAAGGAGAGGTTTTTTTAGGTCTTTGAATCCCAGATGGTGAGGAGGAAATGTCCAAGAGGAAAGGAGACAAGGTGACATATTGGAAAACAGGAAAATCATCTAATCTTTTCCTCCATAAATTCAACTTGCTGCTTGCTCATTCGCTGGCCTGTTTTCTCCATCTGATTATTTTCACATCTCCCGGGACAACAGAAAAAGGAAAGAGAACCAAATGAGTGATGCGGTCTTACCTATTACATTCAAGTCATAGCATTATTGTTTTTCTTCCTAAAGGTCACCTTTGTAGCCTGGATTTGGACAGCACTAGGAATGGTTGTGGAAGATTGACTGGGTTAGACAGACAGGAGAAGCAGGAGCAGGGAAGAAGGCGGGAAGGCAGAGACGAGGGGCCAGAAGAGGGTCTGGAGGAAGGGAGAGAAAGCTTCGTTTGTGCCCATCGGCCTTGAGTATAAAGACCCAGCCTGGCTCTGAATGAGAGCCAACAATGAGGCGGCCCCAGAATCAGCCCTGCTGTTGAAGTCTGACACGTTAACAACCCCAGCAGGAATTAAGAGGTGAAATAAGCAGATGAAACATTTGCTGAAGCTGAGATAAGCATTCCTGGGAAGGAATTTTTTACAAAAAAATCAAAATGGATCCCACAAATCTTCTTAATTAGGAAACATGACAAGGAATTAAATTCAACCTTAAAAAAAATGAAGGGCTAAATAACTCACCCCCACTAAATGGAAGGGCTCTATTGAAAATACCACTGATTATTAGTTTTCACTGCTCGGGGAAATTATCTAAGCACAATGATGCGCATCAACATTCAGCTCACAACGGCAGTCAAAAGCAGCAGCTGAGATGTGTGGCCATCCTAATTAGAGGATGGAGAATTCTGAAAAGACTCTGGAGCTGTGACATTCCTGGCTGGGGCTTGCCTTCCAGGAATGCCACATGAGGGTTTTGGTCATCACATTGTGAAAACGGACTTAATAGGAAGGATCCGGAAAGGAGAAGCTGTGAGGTTAAAAGCAGAAAGCAAGGAAACACTTTCCTAAGAAAGAGTTGTAGAAATGAGGAGAGAAGGAGGAAAGCTAAAGCTTTGGCTGGGGTGGGGATGCGGAGGGTGAAACAGGTAGCCCAGGCTGTGCTGTCCTGGCTCGATCGCCCCCGACATATGGGGGTCAGCCCATTGCTAGCGAGCCCCCACCCCGGCCTGTCAAGAAATGACAACAGATTATCTGACATGAATTACTCTCCCATTCTTCATTCAACAAATATTTAGTAAGCGCCTTCCATGTTCCAGGCATTGATTCTAGCCTCTTGGATAATTACTGAACAAAACAGATAAAAAACAAAAACACAAGCCCTTGCCCTTGTGAGACTGACACATTAGGGTATGGAGGGCCTTGGGGCAGGGGCCGGGGGAAGGAAGCAGATGATAATGTAATTCATGAGTGCATGGTATAATATGTTACAAGGTGAAAAGAACTGTAGAGAAAATGTGGACCAGAGTATGGACAATGATAACAGTTGAGGGAAAATTTGGAGGTGAGCGAGTAGGATTAATAGACATGGAGGCAAAGAGTATCTGGTGCAGAGGGAACATTAGAGGAAGTTTCTTATGCCTGGTGTGATAAGGAAGAGTCGTGGGAGAGGAGGTTGAGCAGATTTAACAGGGGCTGGTATAATAGTTAGCAAATGTGTGGCACCTAGTGTGTCCCTGACCCTGTTAGAAGCTCCTTCAATATATTAACAAATATACAAGTGAGTCTAACAATACCCCTACAAAGTAGCTACTCTTATTGCCCCATATTTTACATACATGAGCATGAAGACACAGAGAGATTAAGTAGCTCACTCAAGGTCAAGGATCCCAACCTTGATGCCTGCTCCAGAGCCTGTGCTTAAAGATGTTATTTATTTATTTATTTATTTATTTATTTATTTATTTTCCTGAGCAGCAGAGTTACAGAGAGAAGGAGAGACAGAGATGAAGGTCTTCCATCTGCTGGTTCACTCCCCAAATGGCCACAATGACTAGAGCTGAGCCAATCTAAAGCCAGGAGCCAGGAGCTTCTTCTGGGTCTCCCATGTGAGTGCCGGGGCCCAAGTACTTGGGCCATCTTCTACTGCTATCCCAGGCCATAGCAGAGAGCTGGATTGGAGGAACAGCTGGGGCTCAAATCAGTGTCCATATGGGATGCCAGAGCCACAGGTGGAGGCTTAGCCCAGTGTGCCACAGCACTGGCCCCTGAGTCATTTACTTCTGATACCAGCTCAGATGACACAATGTCAAGTGGGCTCAGGGACCCTCCTAGGATAAGAAAGCCATGCTGCTCAGTGCATTCTCACCCGTGGCCCAATTCAGGAGCTGCTCTTTTCTACAGGTGGATCCCTGGAGTCCATCGTGCTGCTGAACAAGTCCAGCAAGCGTCTATGAGCAGAGCTACGCTTCCATTGGAAGTGGCGTGAGGGTGGTGCTTCTGCCGTCTGATAATGCCCTGCAGAGAGTCAGAGGCCAGGCAAGGCACGAACTGAGCTTCAAAACCAAGTCTCAGTTTTTTCCACTCCAAAAGGCATGGTTGTGGAGGGGTGCATTTGTAACCCAACTGTCACCAGTTCCTAGCTTCTCATGCTCACTGCCCTATTCTCCCAAAACACGGCACTTAAACATTATTGAATTGTGCACTTCAAACAAGTGAGTCCAATGGTATGTGAATTATTCCTCAATAAGGCTGTTACAAGGATTAATCATCTCTACAGGCATGACCTTAACACTGCCTTCCCTCTGGCCCCATCCTCCTTCACACAGCTTCAGGGCGAGCTGGGAAAGACGCACACTGAAGCCCAAGCACTCCATCCAAAGTTAGGACTTCTTGTGGACACCAGGGATGACAGTGCTACTCCAAGGAAAATAGATGACAGCTTCCCATCAAAACTTTGACAACTTTCCTTAATAGAAACACAGTTTCTTACAATTTTTACATTAAAATACATGAAAGCAATTTCACACACATGAGGTTTTGTGTAGTCAGCTGCTCTTAACTCCAGGAGGTGGGAGCAGGGGAGAGGGCAGAGGTCGTGTGTTCTCCGTCATTGTGGGGAGAGATGCTGATAGGCATTGCTAGTGACGGAATCCAGTCTGGGGACTCAGGGCTTGATTGCAGTTCTGATTCTTATTTCACTTGTGGGCTTGTTCCTCACTAAAAAAATAAGGTAATTGGGCCAGGGGACCTCCAAGGTTGCCACCATCTCTCAAAGTTCAAGATTTGCTTGTGGTACTGGATTCAGATACATCAGCACCAAGATGCCCAGAGCTGTAGGAAGCCGAAGAGGCAAGTACCATCCTTGGGAAACATTTCATGCCCTGAACGAGACTCAAGGACAGCCACATGTCAGTCTGGACACAGATAGAAATACACAAGCCATCCACAGAACACAGGGGCAAGGGGCCGTCGGGAACAATGAATGATCAGATCCTCTTGCTTTGAATCACCTGTGCAGCTAAAGCCACAAGGAGGCTCTGTCCTTGCCAGCTCCTGGGCCCCTTGCACCAGACTACCCTGACACAAAGGCACTCCTTGTTGGTCTTGTGGATGGCCCCAAATGATAGAATTAGCAACTCAGAGAGAAAATGCCTCCGCCTCCATTTAGGGTTTGGGATAACGCCTCTCTGGTGCTGACAGTATTTTTATTTGATGGATTCTACACGTTATCCCAAATCCTGAATAATCCTGAAACTGGAATTAGAATGTGGACAAAATCCTTTTCAAAGTCCCCTGAATGAAAAATGAAAGCATTTTAAGACACATCATGTCCTTGAAACGGGGGTGAACAAGATCTGCTGGCAACCACTTTGTGGAAAAAAGGCTTGTGCTGAAAAAATTCAGTTCTTGTCCCTAAGCTTTCCTTAGCTTTCACATCGCATCTTTGCATTCCCGAGCCATCCCTCCTGCCCGAGGCCGTTTCTGCGCATTTGCGCAGGTTTCCACACACATGACTTTGCTTATCTCTGACGTGCCAGGAGTTCTAAGAAAGTGAAACTAAAAGGAAATAGGACCAATTGCTTATGATGGCTCGCATTCAGCTCTTCCATTTTCACTTGTCCTGGGAGGATGTCTTTCTGCATGCCTCCTTATTTAGGGGACTGAACGGAGCGTCTCCAGGCCCACCTGGACGGCACAGGAGCTTCAAGTACTGGAGCCACAGGAGTTCCTTCTCATCCAAATATCCTAGGGCGGAGAGAGGCGTCCCGGTGCCTACCAGGTCATTCAAAGCGGACTTTTCCCCCATGGCTGGAAAATGTGCTCATTTTGAACACGAGATGGCGCTGGCACACAGGCAACAACCTCTGATTAAAACAAACGCAAGACCAGGGGCACAAACTTTCTAATCAGCCAGAGAATTCTTTTGTTTCTGTAAGACCAGGTTTGGCTCAGCACACTTCAGAATAGCTTTCCAGAGTAGCAAGAATTATCAGTTGTGCGACTTTATCATAAATCAACAAAGAGCTGAAGACTGAATGATTTAGATACATAGATAACAGTATATGGCACTTAGGCGGAGAGATAGTTTCAAAGACCAGTGACTCCCTTAACTATGTAGTATCAAAACCAGAAATACCTGGTCAAGAGACTCAATTGAGCACTATCATCAAAGGTGATCAGTCATAGATCCTTATTCTGAAAGGGGATGGGTCCTCCAGTGAAAGAATGCTTGTATGGATTCAGGTAGCTTAAAATTATATGAATTCTCCTACTTCCCCACAAAGCAGCTTATTTTAACTTATCTGATGGCTCGCCTGATGAGTGACTCGCCACCACCCACCAATTATGCAGAGACGGACATCTAAGTTGAGTCTTAGAATTTTAGACATGGGAAGATGTCTGTATGGCCTCTTTTCCTCCTCACTGTGGTTGCCCGGACTGTTTAAACTCTGGGCAAACTGGCCACTCAAAGGCAGTCCATTGTATTTCTAGATGGTTCTGAGGCTTAGAATATTATGCCTTAGATTGGGCCAGAGTATGGCTGATTTACTTAAAATGTGTTCTGATCATGTAGCCAGCAGATCTATGCTAGTTGCCCTGATTTAAACACTGTTTCGGGGCCGGTGCCGTGGCTTAGCTGGTAAAGCCACCACCTGCAGTGCCAGCATCCCATATGCACGCCGGTTCAAGTCCCAGCTGCTCCACCTATGATCCAGCTCTCTGCTATGGCCTGGGAAAGCAGTAGAAGATGGCCCAAGTGAACCAGTGGATGGAAGACCTCTCTCTCTCTCTCTCTCTCTCTCTCTCTCTGCCTCTCCTTCTCTCTCTGTGTAACTCTGACTTTCAAATAAATAAATAAATCTTTAAAAAAAAAAAGACACTGTGTTTCTATGAATGAACCAACCTTTGGTCAGCTTTCTTCACAATTAGGTCACACTGCTTCTCTTTGGAATCTGTCGTCAATGAAAACTCTCACGTCCTTCATGTGGATGTGGCAAGATCCGTCCCACCCTCGAAAATACAACTGAGTTTTAGAATTAATGTGCAGCCATTAAGCCCTCCGATATCGTGAGGATGTAAGATGATAGCTGTGGCCTGTCAACATTACTGAAAATCATTTAGTTCAAGCTCTGGTGCCTTTTACACCTGGATCCAAAATTCTCTTTCTCCCCTCACAAGCTGTGTGTATCATCTTGATCTCTTGATCAAGATCAAAAACACTGGGGTTGGTCCTGTGGCATGGTGGGTAAAGCTATCGCCTGCAGTGCCAGCATTCCATATGGGCACTGCTTTGAATCTTGGATGCTCCTTTTCTGATCCAGCTCTCTGCTCTGCCTGGGAAAGCTGTAGAAGATGACCCAAGTCCTTGGGCCCCTGCACCTGCGTAGGAGACCCAGAAGAAGCACCTGGCTCCTGACTTCAGATCAGTGCAGCTCCGGCGGTTGTGGCCATCTGGGGAGTGAACCAGGGATGGAAGACCTCTGTCTGCCTCTGCCTTTCTCTCTGTGTAACTCTGACTTTCAAATAAATAAATAAATAAATCTTTAAAAAAAATAAAAAGCACTTGACCTCTTAAAATACCAGTTTCCTTGTCTCTAAAATGGAGCCAAGTCATTACCTCCCTCATGGAGTGGTATCGCTTCATGTGACACTTTTGAGAAGGTCCATTTAACATCATTTCTGACACATAGTAAGTGCTCAATAACTATTGTTACTACTGTTAGTGTTACCTATCACCCCTCGATTTAACTCCTCTGCCGTGTCTGTATCATATGAAAGAAAACCAAACGAGCATCTCTTCCAAGACACAGACACAAATCCTAACTGGGAAGTGTGAAAGAGAGGTGTGAGCAGCCTGCCACCGCCACCAGCGCAGCCACCCTCCAGGCTGATCTACGCACTAATTAGCACTCTTTAGGTGTAATTCTTACCCCAGCCATGCTTGGTTCATGGGCCATCAGCCAGTTCTTGTCTTATCACAAGGTAATGATGATAGATCTTGTCAAAGGCCACGCTGAAAGCAAGGATGGTTTTGATGCCTCTTCTTTCTACCAATCTAATATCCCTCTCAAAAAAGGAATAAATGAAGACATGTTTTGTTTCTGAGATTTGAGTGATCTCTGCTTTTCTAAAGACGTACAAAGAGTCTACTTAATAATCTGTTCAGTTGATGGGTTAAAGTGGCAAAATTGTGGGTTATTTCCTCCTTCGTTTCTTTTATTATAATAATGTTTGTGGAGTAAATAGCTTTTTAAAATTCTGTTCTAGAATTCTGCCAGGGGTAATTGTCAAGCTGACTGGCTTATAGTTTTGATAATATGCCCTTTCCCCCCTGTTTGAAAATGAGGACAACTTTGTCCTTCTCTTGTCTCTTAACAGTTCTCCTATTCGGCATGCTTTTTCAAAGATTATTGACAATGGTTCTTGGAGTTCTTTGAGCAACCTGAGATGTGAATTGTCTAAGTCTGGAGATTTGAATTTATTAAGGGGGGTGAAAGGAACACCACACTCGTTTCTAGCTCTGGCTTTGCCATTTACTAGCTAAAGGAGCGTGGGCAGGTTTTGATTTTGTTTTAGCCTAAATTTCCCCATCTGTGAAATAAGGCATTTGGATCAGATGAAGCCGAAGGTTCTTTCAAGGTCTGCTAGCCTGTGTTCTGTGTCTCATGTAACCTAACATTTTCCTACTCATCCTTCTAACATACCCAGGTTTTGTTTCCTCTCGATAAAATGTGTTCTGTCCTTTATTAATTTTGAATTTGAATTTTGGTTTAGAATCCAAATACCGTAGTGTGGCACTCGGGACGACACTCTTGGATAACCACCCCTTTTCCCCCTCCAAACCTGACGGCCTTCTCCTCTCAGGTACAAACCTTATCTCCATCCAGGTGCACCTGGCCATTCTTCTGAAAACGCCTGTGTATACCGTTCTCTGTCCTTTGCTAAGGTCACTTAAGTGGAGTATCTCCCAGCCACCTCCGCCAGTCAGATTCTACCTCTCCAGGGACATCTCGTTTAACTACCACTGGGGGAGGAGGGGAGCGTGCTTCCTAACTACTCCATCTCATAGCACACTCCTTTTTCTAAACTTCTAATGTGTTCAGTGTGGATTGGCTGACACTGGGTAGTAATCCTGTCGTGTGGCATTTGGTGTGGATACTGTGTCGAATTGCACAGATGTTCCCTCCACTTGTGATGGGGCTATGTCCTGACAAACCCGTTGCAAGTTGAAAATTTCGTTCTTCGAAAATGCATTTACTCCACCTACCCTGCCAAACATGGTAGCTTAGCAACACAGCATGCCATTTCCCCTCAAGATCACCCAGCATCATGAAAGAGCATCTACTGCATATCCTAGCCCAGGAAAAGACCAGACTTTGTTAGGAAAATGGTGCAGTTTTATCTATGGCACGATCTACACCCTGACACCATCCTAGACTCTAGCCCTCACTGCCATTGCTGGAAGCCAGGTGGCCACATGGCCCAACCACTGGTGTCAGCTCCACCCCCATCCTAATGGGATTCGCTGCTCCTGCTTCCCTGCCCGCCCTCCAGCAAAGTTTTTTTTTTTTTTTTTTTTTTTTTTTTGACAGGCAGAGTGGACAATGAGAGAGAGAGACAGAGAGAAAGGTCTTCCTTTGCCGTTGGTTCACCCTCCAATGGCCGCCGTGGCCAGCGCGCTGCGGCCGGCGCACCGCACTGATCCCAAGGCAGGAGCCAGGTGCTTCTCCTGGTCTCCCATGCTGGTGCAGGGCCCAAGAACTTGGACCATCCTCCACTGTACTCCCGGGCCACAGCAGAGAGCTGGCCTGGAAGAGGAGCAACCGGGACAGAATCCAGCGCCCCGACCGGGACTAGAACCCAGTGTGCCGGTGCCGCAAGGCGGAGGATTAGCCTACTGAGCCGCAGCGCTGGCTGTCCACCTTTTTAAAGGACCTGTTCCTGAACACATGGCCTTCTCCTCTCTCTTCTCTCTGCTCCCTCCTGCTCGCTCTGTCTCCTCTCTCTCTTCTCTGCGCTCTCTGCTCTCCTCTCCTCTCCCCCTCTCGCTCTCTCTTCTCTCTGCTCTCTCTCTTCTCTCCTTGCTAGCTCCTCTCCTCTCTGTCTCTCTCTTTCTTACGCTCTCCTTCTCTTTTTCCTTCTTCGCCCCTTCCCTCGGGTCTGCTGGGTTTTCCCTAATAAACCCTTTCCCTTACTCCGGTGTTTGGTGTGTTTTGTGACAGCCTAACAAACTTCAAGCTACAGTTTCTTTTGAATGCACATCACTTTCTCACCCTCATATGTCGAGGACAGTCGGTACTGGGTCTTGGGTCATTCCCCCTAACCTCTAACACTCCTTTCTAATGTTGAGTGCTATTCTGGGGGGTGCTCAATAAACCCTGGAATGAATATTGAATGAATTTTTAAAAGCTACTGCCAGGTCCCCTCCAACCCCGCCCCCATAGGAACACTTAGGCAATTAATTAATACATGGAAGTTTCATTTTCATCTTAGAGTCATAGAAAGGTGAGACACAGCTCAGGCAGCTTAATAATAGAAAGCACCCAATTTTATAACAATTTTATACAATTGATGATGAAAGTAAAGCCAGCTCACTTTCCTTCCTTTGCCACCACAGATACGGGATTTGGTAAAAGTTACAGAGTAAATAAAATTACAAATTGGTTCAGCATCAAATTCAATTCATTGGTTCCCATCCTATCCTAATCTGTCCTTTCCTATATGGGCCAAGATAGCCTAAATCTTTGCTTGAGACCCTAGGTTCCTATTTTAACCAAGTGGTAGAGTCATAAGGATAGACAATGCGCTTTGTGTGTCCTATGTCCTAGCAGGTGTGCATCCTAGCAAGCATGCACTGTATAAATACTCAAGTGCATGAGATGGGAGCACCCCTCCAGTATTTGGGAAACTCTTGTTCTCAGTAAGCTATTGGTTGAAATAAGCATTTCCTGCCCGAACACTTTAGAACCACATCACTATTATAATAGCATCGGAGTTGGGAGAAGAGACTTGTGATGAGATTGTTAACACAGGACAAATAAAGGTTTCTAATAATCAGCGGCATTCAGTTTCACAAAGCACGTCAGAAACAGAGGCAAGAAGGTAAGTTTCTGACTTGTTCAGCAAATGTTGAACGACTACTATGTACCAGGTCCTGCTGGGGACATGGGCATGGGATAGCTGGGCTTTGCTCTCAAATTTCCTAGTCTTGGGGAAGAGACAATCAAATAAACAGATAACTCTGACTGGTATGAGAAATACCATCACGGGGATTTGTGTATCCACTGTGACCAGGGCCCAGTGTCCCAGCAAAGGAACAAAAGCAAACACTTGCGCGCCTGCGGGCTGTGCCAGGTACCAGCCCTTGCAAACGCTCCCCCTGTTGCCTTCCCAGAAATCACCCCGCAGCTCCTTTTGTAGCCACTGCCTGTGTCTTAGAGGGAGGCTGCAAAGTCCAGGAGGAAGTCAGGCGCTGAGAGGCCAGATTGCGAGTGTTACTAATGAAAGCTGCAATCTCACAGGCCAGTCCAAGGCTTAGAGAGCGCTGTTTATCCACCTCTCCCATTGCGCTAGTTGGGGGTGATCAGCACAAAATTCCCAGGCAAACACAAGTCCAGCTGGTGCCTAGTAAGCTCCTAATAAATGCCCTGCTGCCCACGTCACCTGGCATGGGGACATAGACCCCTGTCCCTCAGCGCCCTATTAAGCAACAATCATCCAGGAATTGTGCCACTAGGCCACGTCTCCCCTCCCCCCATGAGAGCATCGTGCAACCTTGTCGTGTTGAGACAGTGGAAGAATTTTCCCTGGGAAATTCTATCCCTGTGAAGCCACCCTCAGCCTGCCCACGCCTGAGCCCCTGACACCCATCCCAGCCCTGTTGCCATGTGATTTCAAGTTCTAGGCCAGCCCATGGCCTGAACCATGGATTCCCCACCCAGTGTAGATTGTTCAGTGTGGATTGGCTGACACTGGGTAGTAATCCTGTCATGTGGCATTTGGTGTGGATACTGTGTCAGCAGCCCTCAGACACCTGCCTGCATCCACACTTAGACAGACGTTGGGCAAGTCCACCAGAGACAGAACAAGGAAAGCAACCTGCGATTCAATACCCACACATATGTTCTGCATCAGCCACCCGATTGGACGTGGGGAATTTTAGGATGAGAACATTTCACTTTCCCATTTCCTGTGCACTAGCTTGTCAGGAGGATATGGAACAATGAAAGATGTCCAGATGGAGCTTCTGGCTGTGCTGCAGGGACTCCCAGACAGAACACTCTGAGGACTGCATGGGCGTGCCACTACCTCCAGGGGCTCTCGCCTCTTCCTCACTGTGGGACCCAATTCTGACGTCACTTATAATTCACTGAAGATTGTTTGACTCATGCGTAGGCCCATTACGTCCGTGTTTTTCTTTCATGTCCATGCATGTGACCTTACACCCAACCACCCTCTATTTCCTTCAGGAACAGCTTAAGCCCTGTGATTAGACATCTGCCCAAACTCCTCTACTGCACCTGCTTCTCAAAAGCTGGGGACCTTCCTCCTTCCCAAACCGGTGATGCTGCTAAGCCTCCCCACCCCTCCCCACTCCCAGAGGCAGACAGCCCAGCTGAGAACATAATTTCCATTCGCCCCTCCCTTGTAGATTCTGCCGCCTTCACTTCTTTGGGGAAGAGAGTGGGGTACGAACCAACAAAGCAAAGCCCTGCTTCTGTCTTCCCTGCCCTCTCCATTCCAACACACACACACACACACACACACACCCCTGCTCCCTAAGTGTGGGTCTCCTACAAGGCTCCTTGGCCTTGGCTTCTCTCGCTGTGCTCTCTCCTCTTCAGGGAGCTCATCCAGTCTCATCAGCTCTGATGGCAGCCCCCACAGTCTCTGTTTCTAATTGGTGCACTCAGGTGCACTCTCTCGTGGTTTCAAGGGTGCCTCCACTAGGTATCCTTTAGGATCCAGTTATCGGAAGGAGAGACCGCAACTACCCCAGGTTCCACCCCTCTGCATACCGCGTTTTCAGCATGCTGAGGAGACCAGCTATTGCTACAGGTTTCTGCTGATGCACTTACCAACCTGTCTGCATCTCGCTTGTGTGTCATCACCACGGACGGGCTGGTCTTCTTTCTTGCAAAGGCGGCTCAAATTCTCTCAGACATTGTCCTAGCAAACTCTCCCCTTTCTCCTG